ACGCCGAAAGCGAACGTCAGCGTGATGCCAGACACGGCCAGGCCCAACGGCACTGGAGCCCACCAAATGCCCTGCGAGCTCAGGCAGGCGTTGGCCGAGGTGGAGAGCGCGACTGCGCAGGGGCCCCCACCCCGGGTCCGCTGCAGGCCATCGCTCGCCCAGACTGGAGCCGGAGCACTGGCGAGGGAAACGGGCCAGCCGAAATCTCCCATCCGCCGCCTCGAAAGCAGCTTGAGCACAAAGAATTGCGGCCAGCGCAGGACATGCAGCATTGCGCACTGCCCAGCGTTGCTACTGGGGGCCCGCGGCAGGGGTCGAGACCCCTTGCGGATATATGGCGGCTATCTCAACTTCAGAAACTGAATGGTGAAACTCGTATTCCGAGGGCCTCGAAGCGGGGTAAATCAGCCCCGGAATGGTTTTTGTCTGCGCACGCTTTTGCAATCCAACGTTCGGAACTGTCGTTTTATTTTTCGCTGGCCTATTTGCGGATTGGGGCTGGATGCGATGCCGGGAAGATGATCCCGCCCCCCCTTTTCCCCCCCGCAGCATTAAAGACCTCTCGCTGTTATTGTGAGACTGCGCGCTGTCCTCGCTGCCCGCGCGCTCGCTCTCACGCGAGCGGTGCAGCGAATCATTCAGAATCGCCATCTAGATAGCGAAAAATGCATGGTAACGCCTGATTATGCTGAGGGCCTCGACGTGGAATTGTGCGTTGTGGCGCTGCGCGCTGCCCCCATTGCCCGCGCGCGCGCTCGCTCTCGCGCGCGCAGCGCAGCACCAAATTGTTCACTCGTGTTCTGAGAACCTTCACGTGGACTCGTGACCCTGTGCGTTTGCCTCGTCGTCCGCGCGCGCGTCGGAAGTGAAGGCGGTGGGCCACGTTGAGGACTGCTGAATATAAGTGAGATAGCTTGTTGACATCGTTCAGTTTTCGAACGTCAGATCGCTAGTCTTTCTTCTGCGTTGCGCTCGCGGGCAAAACGGGGAATTGCTTATTGTCACAACGCGCTGTTCCACGTTGATGCCCTCAGAACACGCGAGGAACATTTGGTTTTCACCATTCAATTTTCGAGATTAAGATGGTCATTTCGCGTTTGTTTACACGCTGCGCACGCGCGAGCACGCGCGCGCGGGTGGCGTGGACCGTGCGTAGTGCAACAATACTCTATTCCACGTTGAGCCGCAATCGTTGGCAACCTCCGAATGCGAGAAAAGAACATTCTTTTCGCCAGCCAATCTTCTAAGTTAAGAAGGCCATTGCTCTTGTTGTTTGCTTGCATTGCGCGCGCGCGCGCGCGCTCGGTCGCGGTCAATGAAGAGAAGGCATTGCGCCGCCGCGCGCCGTTCCATGTCGAGGCCCTCGCGAGACGGATGAAATTATTTGCTGTCGCTACCCAATTATCAAAATAAGTAATCGCCGTCATATTATTGGTCTTGCCTTGCGCGCGCGAGGTCGCGCGCTCTTCGGAGCGTCGCGCGTCGCGCCGCAGCGTATCAATTTGCGATCAGAACACGACGGACACAACAATTTCTCGCCGCTCAGTTTCCCAAGCTAAATCTGACATGTGCAACTGATTTTTTGCATTGCGCACGCGCGCGCAATGGGGGGCACGGCGCGCTGTGTCACAATGGCCGCGTCATGCCATGCTGCGGCGCAGTGCGCGCCATCATGCCGCGCGCCTGGGCGCTTGCCGCCGCGGGGGCTCGGTGGCCCTGGACTTGTTCGCAACTGGCGAATTCTCGCAATCAGCTCGCCGGCGAGCGTGTCAGCGTTGCGCTCAACCAGAGAAGGCGAGCCTTCAGGACTCGGCGCCTCGCCCCCGCTCTCCCCCGCCCCCCCGGCCTGGCAGCTCCGGGGGAATTCGGGGCGCGGGCGCCAAATGTCGCCGTCGACGCCGGGGGGGCGACGTCGCAATGGCCGAGGGGCCCTTCGGGGCAGCCGGGAAAACGCAGCGGCGCCAGCGGCGGCGCTAGAGGCGCCGCGACGTTTCGCCCGGGCGGCAGGGCGGAGGCGCGAGGCGGCGGCGCGCGCTCTCGCGCGCCAGCCTATATCAAGAAACAAACTCGCTGGACCCGCGCGCGTCCCCAGGCGCGAGGTCAAGAGGACTGAGAAGATATGGCCGCTAGCTAAATGCATTGCCCTGGGAAATCCCGAAGGTTCTTCGGGGGCCCGAAGGGTTTGGGCCCTCCCGCCCCGCCCCCAGCGCCGCGCCCGCGCCCGGGGGCCTCGGCAGAGGTGCTCTCGGGTGCGCGAGCCCGCAGACATCCCGACTAATTAAACGTGCCGTCTGGATGTCGCGCCACGCGGCAATCCTCGCGAGCGCCGTTGTCGCGGGCCTCAGCGCAGCCCCGGCCGCGGGGCCGGGCCTTTCCACGCGGGCCCTCGGGGCGTTCGAGACTCTCGCAATCGTCGGCGCTCGGCGCTGTTTTGGGTCGGCCTGAGGGCCCGATCGCTTCGAGTGGGGTGCCAGGGGGGGAATGGCGCCAGCTGGGATCG